TAAATACAACTCAATAAAGCTTCATTTTTAAATTCGTGTAACTAACTACAGATAAACATTATCAAATACATGATAAACATCTATTTTAAATATAGAAAACCTAAAATATAATTAAAATAATCATTGAGTTCTAACAGAATATTTAGTTATTATCTTAATAAAAAAATTATATTATTAAACCAAAAATAACTTATTTTGTTATTAAATATAAATTAAATTATAATAAAAATTGAATTAAATAAGTCACACCAAAAAAACAAGAACTATTAAATAGTTAATTTGATATTAATATTGATTTATTTTTGTCAAAATTTTATGTTATCTTCAAGTTTTTAGTTAATTCAAAAAATAAAAACATTATCGCTTTCTCAAAACCACATAAAATCGTATTATATCGATAGAGACAAAAAACAAAACTAAACATTAAAATGAAGATTTATCTCGCTGTATTGCACGAGTACCCTTCTAGTAATAATAATAGTAATGCATAAAAAAGAAGTACTTACTCTAATTGCAACATTTTCCTTCTCGAAATGTCCCATGGAAATCACAAAATTTTCTCCCAAGTTAAACTTACCTAATTCGGCACTATCACCATGATGAGTTAACTAATTATATTCATATGATCCAAAAAGTTCATGTATGTACTTGAGGGTGTATCGGATATTTGATAAATAGCCAGATGCTTCTCTTAAACTATGTGTCAAGTCAAACACCACAGTTTTCATGGAACAAAAAGAGGTACATATATGAAAGGACTACCGTTTGTACATCAAATGTGGATCATTCAACAAAATCGGAAGAAAAAGGAGAGATAATTTCACAAAAGTTGAAGTCATGCCAGCAGAAGCGCCTGCAGCTAATCTTCCAATAACAGAAAGCTTACCGTCCTTCCCCCTATAAAGTTTCTGCAAAGTTAACATGAATTTAAAATGACATTTTGTTGTATACCATTTTGTAGGTCCGTGTTCAATTCTAGTAAATTGGACCCCCAATCATGTCTTCATTCTCAACTTCTCGTCACATATACAAGGCATAAGCAAGTAGTACTTTGTAGATGCACATATTGCTTGCCCATTTTACTACCAACTTTATTAACTTGGCACTATATTTCATTCCAATCATCCCTTGCCTACTGATTCTACTTCCAAGCCAAAAACTGATGTTTTTGGATAGATTTACCCTTGATGATCAGTAGGAAACTTCATGTTTACAAGGGAAAGTGATCAAATCACTTCTTTTAAAGAAAATGAAATACAGTGGCAAAATAAATGCTCCCCTCATTCCAAAATAAATTCTCATAATGAAAAATGCACACAGTTTTAGAAAAGTATAACTATTACATCTTTAGTGAACCAAATGACAGTTTTACCCTTAATAATAGAGGAATACGTAATTTCTTCATCTCATAATTAAGGGTAGAATGTGAAGTATGCACTTATTTTTTTTTAAAGTGAACACTTATTTTGGAAAAAGCTAAAGTAGAAATGCAGACATTTATTTTGGGACAGACGGAATAACTTTTATTGTATAGTGCCAAACATGTATTTTGTCCCACATTAGATAGCACTTACAATTACTCTCAAACAAGTTTTCACTTACCTTGTAAAACTCGTAAGCAAATAGCTAGACAACACTACAAGGGAGGATATGTAGCACCTATGATAGAGTGGGTTCATTTAGCATCAAGAAAAAAGAAATACTAAAATCATAAGAAATCGACAAATAAGCCAAGAGAACCTGAGCAAGGTTACCCTTCCAGTACCCTTTTACACCTTATTGCTTTCCTACAGAAACAAGCGTCTGCAACCAATTCAAAATATCAACACTAAATTCTGCTCAAACACAATCACAACACTTGATGTAAACGGATGTATTGGCATCAAGGTATGTAACATTTGACTTGACACGAGTAAAGTGTAAAGTTGTTGTCAACTTTTTCTTCAAATATCTAAAATGTTCTTCAATAAAAACAAATAAAGGAATCTTGTAAACCCAAATCAATTTTATTTGCAACGATGACAGTAGGCAAAAAGGTAATGCTTACTATCTAAAAAACAGAAAAAAGAAACAAAATATTCATGCAAAGCCCAAGAAAGGTAATTGTCACAATTAAGGGATGTTTTTTTAATAAACGGGGAACGATTTTGACTGTTTTACTCTATAAAATCAAACACTTCTATTAACATTCAGTGGTTATGAAAAATTTAATTTTCATAGGAAAATATAAAAGCAGTCGTTGGTTCATTTATGCGTTTAAAAAAAGTGGTAAAAATTATAAAGTTTGACGTGATTTCATATTATGTTAAGGGTTGTGATGATAGATTGTATTTAATGGTTACAGGTTGTTAAAATAGAAGTGTTTGATTTTATAGGATAAAACCACAACTAAAACAGTCAAAATCGTCTTTTGTTCATTAAAAAACATCTCTTAATTGTCAAATCAATTTTCTCACTAGAAGACAAAATAATAGTCAAACGTGCAAGTCGGATCGGCCCCAAGGGAATATCCTGGGGTAGGTGGGGGTGATCCCACTATTTAAGACAAATCAGATACATGACAAATCAATTTAAAATATTTTTATGTACTTTTTTGGGTCAGAGAGGTTGGATCGCCCCCCTTATGGTCAAATCGTCCCCCCAGGGGAGATCCATGTGGTTAGTTTGGTAAAACATGAAAAAAAATGATTATTTTGTTAACATATTAGGTATATTCTGATCATTTTGGTAAAAACACCCATTAAAATATCGATGACAATAAATAACATTTATTTATTGCTTTGTACTTTGTACTTTGAAATTTTTATTAATGCATGTTTAAGTCTCAAAATACATATCCACAACTTTGTAAATATGTAATAATTACACTTTTTAATTAACTAAATGACAATTCTATCATTCATAATTGAGAGATTAATAAATACTATATCTCATAATTAGGAGTAGAGTTGGAAATTAGACATTACTTTTTGAAAGCGGACATCTACTTTAGGACAAACTAAAATAAAAATATGGACACTTATTTTGGGATGGAAAGAGTAGATGTTTTTGTTATTTATAGACATTATTTGTGTTATAACAATGAATTATTTTTTTATAGTAATTTATGTGTATTAATGATCGGTTAATATATTTCCATATTATTTATAGACTAAGTTTTCATTTATCACGTTTTTGTACATATAATTAGTTATTGTGCGATTTAGACTTACATTTATTTATTTTTTTAATTAAAATCGATAAAAATATTATCATCCTTTTTTAAAAAAGAAAAAAAATTCATCATCAATTAGACAAATACTGCATAAATTATCCACACCACCGTCGTTATTGTTACTCAGTTTATTTAATTTTACAACTTTATTCCTAAACAAGATCTCTCTTTCTCTCTATATATGTATATATTAAAATTTTATTAATTATATTTTATTAACTTCTTCGAATTATTTAAATATTATTTGTTGATAATTTTATTAATTACTAATGTAAATTTATATAAACATTTTTCAAATCATTAATCAAAATACTCATGTATTATGTAAAACCAAAATAAAAATAGCAACTATAGTGATTAGAGGTAAGGGAAAAGTACAATAAAAACCAATGGACTTTCTTGTTTGGAATGATTAAGTCTTTGGATTTTTTTTTGGAACAAATAAGTCCTTGAACATTCCAAAACATGTTAAATAAGTCATTGGACAATTTTTTGGAACAAATAAGTCATTGGATATTCCAAAATATGTTAAATAAGTCTTTGAACAATTTTTGGAACAAATAAGTCCTTGGATATTCCAAAAAATGTTAAATAACTCATTGGACAATTTTTGGAACAAATAAGTCCTTCAACAATCCAAAATATGTTAAATAACTTCTTGAACTTTTATAAAACATGTTGGATACATTCTTATGACTTGTACAACTAGTTAAAATGATAAAATAGTGAAAAAAATTCAGAAAAAACCCCAATGAACATTCATATTTTGAACGATAAA